AATGCATGGTGAGAATGGTTGTGGTTACTTTTTAAAGTACTTTTCACTTACAAATATATCAAAATAATATTTTTTTAATTTTTTAAAAATTATTTTTGATATTAACTCATCAAAATGATCTAAAAATACCAAAAAAATATTAATTTAAAGCAAAAAAAATTAACAAAATTTTATATTTTTTAAAAACGCTTTTAAAATGCAAAAACAAACAGACCAACACTAACTTAATTTGCAGAATAGTCAAAAGCAAACCGCAAAGAATTCTTCAGATGAAGACAATTCAAAAATCATAAAATGATTGGATAATCAAACAAGTTAGATATTTGTTTAGTTTGTAATCATTTCGACAATAAATCTTGAAATTTAAGATGTTAAAGAATAAAACTGATGTATTAGATAATTGATTGATATCTTAGTTCAAACAATTTGATATATTCTCTCTAGTCAAGATGTTTAGTGACTTGATATAGAAAGGTCAAGAGGTTGGTAACTAGTAGCAGGTAATGCTGGTAAGCTAAGGTGACCAGTAACTATGTTAGTAGAAGCAGGTGATGCCTGGTAAGGCAAGTAACTAATAACTGTGTTAGTAGTAGTAGCAGTAGCAGCAAGTGGTGCTTAACTTACCAGGTGACCAGTAGTTGTGGTTAAGGTTGTCAAAAATGCTTTTTTGATACGACACGAAATATACAATATAAACTCGGATCGTAAAATTAAATCGTAAAATCGTACGTAAAATGTTTTAACTAATTATATATTGACAATTTCAGTCAAGTATTACATAATAATATAACCCAATTAAAATAAAAGTGAAATAAATAATAGAAAAGTCCAAACACCTTAAAATACATAATTCAAATAATTATTCACACATAATTTAAATAACTTAAAAATATGATATTTCTTATGCTTCAATTATGACCATCTGACTGCTCTGGTTAATTAGACACAAGCCCATTACACTAATCACAAACTCTACTTCGGTAACCAAAACTAGCATCATCATCCGATTATGCAAACATGGAAGTCACGATTTTCAATTTTGAAGGCACAAACTATGACATAGACAAGGAAGTGAATGCAGGGTTTATCAGCAGGCATATCTAACAACATCTTCTCAAATAACCATCTTGCAGGATGTAGTGATGGTGACTTAGAACAAGCATACATAGGAGTATCAAGGTCACTCCTTTTATCTTCAAAGTTACTAGCATCATGAATGATACTCGCAAAATACTTTGGAAAGCGTAAGTGCATCTTCATAATAGCATTACTAAAAATCATCTGCAGAGTTTGCAGACCCTTAACTTCATTACCCCAAGAGTCAAGCATGCCATTTTATTATATATATTTGCCAGCTAAAACAGAGGAATATGCCAATTTAAATAAATATACCAATTCAATCTCTTCACGCTGCAAATAGCTTTTTCACCCAATGATGTGCTCAACGGTTGGGTTGCTGCATTTGAAATCAAGAAATTCCAACGATGAATGACGAAGGAAAAAGATCAGTGAATCCAAAATAACAAATCTAGCATAGAAATCATAAAAGTAGCTATACAAGCATAACAAAATGTTCCTCTGTTTCATCTAACTTTTCACAGAATACTAAACAGTTGAATTTGCAACACATTATGCATTTCGAATATCGAGCCCTTAATTATCAGATTGCACAAGTTTTGCAAGATGCCTTTCAATCCTTTATTCTTTGTTAAAACAATTTCATAAAATCTGTACTTCAAAGTTTAGACTTTAAACCCACTTTACAGGATGCCTTTCTTGAGTCCATTACCATTAGTTTGTACTACAAAGTTAGTAATTTGGCAACAGTTTGGGTGCCATTCTGTCTTAAAAAGAATTGAAAAGGATTCATGGATCAATTAATATTCTTGGAACGAAACGAATTAGGCTGACAGAGAAGGAGAATGAGACAATTTCATAACAAGAAGTGTAAGAGCACTAACCTGATAAAGAAAGCACAAAAGAAGAAGACAATCAGAGGCAGACCCGCAGACGAAGTAAAGAAAAAAAAAAAGGTGTTTTGAGAAAGATAGAGAGAGTGGAACTAGCTGCTGGTGCTAGGGTTGAGAGTCTTGAACGAGGGCAAAGGGGATTTGGGGCTGGGGGGTAAGTTAATCACTTAGCCCGTTTGTTTGTCAATATTTTCAACTTTTATCTTTGTCTTGAAGATTCATTTATTATCTAAAGAAGAAAAATCCACTTGTTTCCTCTTATTAAGCAATGTATCAGCCCTAATCACCTTGAAAACAATACATTTGACTTGAGCTTAAATTATCTTTTAATAAAGAAGCAAAAATTTTTTT